AGTTTCGACGAGTGCATCGGGTCAAGAGAGATTAAATGGGGGTTCGGCTGGCGGAAACGCGCGCGAAATGGCCCGCCGTAAGCGCCACACCGCGAACAACAATAGATTTTTCTCTCCGACGCCGGTCCCTTTTGTGACTCGGTAATCGTTCGGTTACTCCGCAATTGTAGATAGCGTCGAGATGTATGCGCGCATACGGGCGAGCCCGAAAAGCGAGCCGGCGTCGTTTCGCCCTGTTGTTTCTCGAATATGGGTTACGGCGTGAAAGCTCGGGGAAAAACCGGCGCGCGACGTCGGTCTGTCGGGTGCAGCGTTTCGCCCGGTGACTCCGCGCCGCTGCGATCGTCGGATTCGCGATTAACAGCGATCGCGGAATTTCCGCAGGAAGGACGCGCGCGACGATCGTTTCCTTCGCCGAGCTGAATCGGTACTAGGTGGCAATCTCATTGGCCACGGCGAGCTAACTCGGCCGCGAAACGCAATTTAATTCTCCTCGATTTAATCGCGCCCCGGCGCTCTTCATTTACAGCCGGCCGAATGAAGAGTCCTCGATGCGCTCGAATTAAAACGCTGCGCCGGCACCGGGATCGAGCGAGCCGCGCGCAGGATCGATCGGCCGACCGGTCCCCGACCGGGCGGGCGATTCCTAGGATTGAGAAGGAGATCGCAGCGCAGCCTTGATTCTTTCAGGCTCCGCCGCGATCCTCCGTAATTGGATTCCGCCTTTTCTCGGACGAATTCGCTCCCGTCCCCGCCGGTCCTCTGTGTTTCCGCCCACGCAGAAGATTGTTGCGTTCTTCTGCAGAAAGGCGACGCCGGCACGGAGGACGCGAGGGTTCGATTGGATTACAAGGATTCGCGAAACTTCGGCCCCTTCCCCCCGGCCGTTCGTGCTAGCGCCGATCCAATTTCGCGGGCTCGGAGTCCGCCCGTGACTAATACACGCGTCACCGATCCCTTTGCGACTCGGATCGACGGCTAATAAGATCTGTCGATGGGGAACTCGGTCGTGATTTTCGATTAAGGGTTCGAACGAGTCGCCGAACGTGAATGGCCGCGAATCGTTCGGTTCACCGGTTTTGCCTCCAGCCGCGCTGTTTTTCGATGTTGCGCTGTAAACTGTTCACGCGTAACGCTCGCGTCCAATTATCGCGGTGTAAAGACGGCAACGATAGAAATTCGCGTCCGGTAACCGAGCACGTCGGCCAGCGCCCGCGTTCCGCTCTGGATTTCAGCGAATTCGCGTTAGCGTTCGACTGTACTCGGTCTTCCTGCTGCGAGCCGATCGGGCGGCGGCATGATCGATGCGAATGAATGAAAAAGGAGAACCGATCGAGCCGCAGTTGCAGCGGACCGTTGCGGAGGCAGGTGCATAACCCGCGGTGATGTTGTACCGTGACGTCACGCGGCTCGCTAGTTCTCGGCGAAGCGGCGCGGGTCGCGGCGTAACGGGCCCGTAAATAACTCGCGGGGAGCAAAAATCCCGCATAAATTACGGTGAATTGATATTTGCCGGGCTTGTAAATTATATGCCAGTCCTGGCCGAGCGGTGAACCGTGAACCCGCTCTGCCAGCGTTCCGCGCGGAGATCGGCGAAATCGAGCGCGTCGCGATCCTCGGGAAACGAGTCGATTCCTGTTGCAGTCGCTCGAACGTCGTTCGACGCGAACGCGTGGCAGGCTCGAGAAAGACGCGAGACTACGCGTGAAGCGGAAAGCTGGATCGATGCGCCAATTAACTGTAGGAGGCTGATGTTTGGGTCTAGTTTGACCCAGATTTTTCAACACTTCGTTCAACTTCTCACGTGCTTACGCCGAACGTTCTCGGTTGATTACATCGGATCAGCAGTGAAAAACATAAACAACAATTTCCAGAGTTCAAGGGACTTCCGTTAATCGTTGCGCGGAGAAAGTTAGCAACCGGCGAGCGAGCGGCGGAGCCTGAGTAGTTGCTGGCTCGCTGGGAATATCGGACGCCACCGTTTCGCGACCGTTTCGAGGGCAATTAATTCGACTCGAAACGAGATCACGGGTGAGTTTGTTCTCGAGCCTCCGCTGTTATTTCGAGCGTCGGTCGGAGGCCAGCGCACCCAGTTCGAGGCGATCGCGCGAAATAAATGCGCGGCGGGACCGGGGATCGATCGGGAGGATCCACGGCTACGCGCGGCTCCGCTCGCTGGCATCCTCGCGCTGCCCTTAACCCGCCCTTCCTTCGCGGCCCAGTCGGACCTAACCTGCGCGACGTCGCTGCGACTCGCATCCAGCGTGGAACGAGGCCATGTGCGCCATTAGATCCTCCTCGAAGGATCAACGGAGAGAGAGAACGGGGTCGGAAAGAGGTTACGAGCGGCGTCGCGGCTGACGGACCTCCTCGGGAATCGCAAACCGCGCGAAACGGGGCTCGCCGCGTTCCTCGCCGGTCCCCTCTCTCCGCCCGCGCGATTTGCATTCCGCGGAAAAGAACTCGGAAGCTGGGTCGGACGAGAAACAGAGAGAACGGCGGATGTCGAAGCTTACCAGGAGGAGAACTCGGTAAATCTGTATCCTGGGTTCGTTCTCTGGCCGGGGTGTGGTTCCTTCGCTTGCGGGCGGGGCCAGGATCACCCCACGGGATTAAGGACTTTGGACTTGGCTGGATTCGGGAGGAAGCTCGCGTGCCCGTGTACGCGTCACCCAGTGCACGCTCCGTGTGCCGTTTCGCCTCCGCGTACGTGTGCGTGCTCCGTCGTCTCTAGGTGTGCGCTCTGCGCGCGTTTCTAGCCGAGTCGTGTCCACGTTCCTGCTGGAAACTTGCCGAGAGAACGACGTCGGGAACGAGGACGCGCGATCGTTGCGTGTTCACGTCCACCGTGTCTCCGTTCGGTAGATCGGGTCGCGCACGTGTCCCTTTCCAGCACCGTCGAGTCTCGCGCGTGTCGATCGGTGGCTCGAGAGTCGGTCGTGTTTGTTCCGGAGGTTAGGGTGTTTGCGAGACGGGGATCGAGGTTCTGTTGGACGAGAGACGGAACAGGACGAGGGGGATCGGCCTAGACGCGGTCCTGCCTTCGCTAGGACATTGTTAGTCCCGGCCCGTCGTCGCTGAGAGACCCGGCCGCTGCCAGCTCGGTCCGCCCACGGCTGGTAGCCACCTCCGTCTGCGTTCGGCGAGCACGGCGCCCTGACCTGGACCCGCGAAGGTCCTCACCGGAAGGTCCTCCTTCGGTCGGTCGGCTCGCTCTCTCTTCTCGCCTCTGCGCCCTCCACCGCTATTCCTCTCCTGGACCGTGCTCAGTCACGTGACCCATCGCGGCGCGACATCGTGCGTACTACCAGCCAACGAACGATCGCGTCACGATTTCGCGTGCACCATCGATTCACCTCGCGCGCGAACGACTGCCGCGGGTCCGCCGATGGGATTTTCGCTCGTGGCCACGGTCGATCGAGGGACGCCCGAGGCCGAGCCGCGGATCACCGAGTTTCCACCACCGAATCCTCGAGACTGCTCGCGAGGGCCTCGGACGCGCGGCTTTGGAACTCGCTGTAGCTCTCTCGCGTTCCGTCACAGTCTCACTCCGCCTCGGATACGCGCGATCCTCGCGGCGGTCGGACGACACTACCCCGTTCGCGATCCCTGGCTCTCTCTCTCTCCTCGCCCCGTGTTTCCAACGGACGAGGGCCGAGAGAGTTCTGTCCCGTGACGCGGAACGGCCGTTCGCGGACCTGCTTCTACCGACACAGCCGCAATCCCACGACTGCGACACGGCGTTGCGAGCAACGATTCGCTCGCGCCGGAGGATCGCGAGCTCGCGCGCGCGCGCGCGGCCTGATCGACAGCACTCCCGGAACGGGGGACGAGAGCGGAAGCGTTCCGCGCGGCCCTCGCA